GATCTTGAATGATTAACTCTCACAACCAATTTGGTCTTTTATAATTACAACAAAATAAAAGTCCTGCCAATGTCACAAAAAAGGAGGGAGAGATACCTGATAAAAATCAGTTCTGCCCCAATTTCATTAGAACATTGACTTTGCGACAAGAGGGGACAGCATGTTAGACCTTGTTTACTCAAACATTCAGCATACAAGGCTTCACCCCTCCCCCAGATTGGACAATCTTAAATACACCACTGATCTATGCATCAAAACTACAAAAATCACCCGAGTGCCAAAGAAGTGCCACTGTTTCCTGCTTCAATGACTACCGGCTGGTGACACTTACACCATCATCGCAAAGTGCTTTGAGAGGCTGGTATTGAGGCACATGAAAACTCACCTTCCACCAAATCTGGAGCTGCTACAGTTTGCCTACTGCCCAAACCGCTCCAGAAATCATGCCATCTCGTCTGCTGTTCACCATTCTCTCTCCCATCTCAACAAAAAGGACACTTATGTCAGATAGCTGTTTAATGACTTCAGCTCAGCATTCAACACTGTCATTCCCCAAGAAAATACCCACTCCATCAGAGCTGTCTTCCCCTATCGATATTATTGAATGAGCAGTGTTCCACATTTTATTTAATTCACATACATCTACGTGTGTTTTTAATCTCATCTCTTGAAGGCACAAAATATCATAATCAAGACTTTTTAAGAAATCAACCTTCCTTTTCCTGCTCTTATCTGATTGAAGGCCTCTGACATTAAATGTTATTATTTTGATGTTACTCATAGGTTGACTAAAGGAGAGACCATCTCAGAAATATTACTCACGGAGGACTTGGTCTATTATCCTTCCGCTTATCTCTTCCAGAGCTAGAAGCAGAAACGCTCCTTTTTCTGCTTCCTCTCGTATCCTCGTTGACGAGCTCGTTGAGGGCCGGGTGACTTCCACTAAAGAAGGTCTTACGTTTTACTCTCGTTTCCCCGGGCAAGCGAAGCAAGAGCCAGAGATGCCGCCTCTGAGAGAGGAAAGGATCCATGGTCCTCGCTATCTCCGTCGTCATCAGGTGTCTGCTCGCTGTCGATTTCTTCGTCGTCACTATCGCTTTTATTCTCACCATCCGATGTCTCTATGATTAGGTTACCATCTAGCTCTTCATCACTCTCGTCACTTTTTTTACTTGACTGAGACAGTGGAGATGGTAACTCATTTTGAACAGGGCTAGACTGGTTATCCTGATCATCCACTTGTGGATTGTCCAATCCAAGCGAAACTGGGAGTGACAGTGAGGCAGCCGTCGGAGGAAGGGGAGGGGGAGGAGAGGGAGGGGGCTCTCTCACCTGGTCATGCACGGGGGGATCCATAACTTGAGAAGGATCCTCCAAGGAAGGGAAATCCATGGTGTCAGAAGGTCGAGGTTGTTGGGAAGATTTAAGTATATTCACGTAGGACTTGGGGCATTTAAAGAAAGTGTGCCCTTTCGCACCACAGAGGGAGCACTCACTTTCGTTTTGGCAAATTTTAGCCTTGTGGCCCAACTCACCACATTTCCAACATTTGATAGTGGGGCATTCTCTCGCCTGGTGGTCTGGACCTTGGCAGATGAAGCACCTCACCGATTGGCCAGGATAAATAATCCTGCCATTATAGGGGCCCAACGAGATGGAATTAGGGATAGAGATTATATGTCCAGCTTCATCTCTACGCATCCGAACTTTGTATTTTCGGACTCCATACCAGAATCCAAATTTATCCACTGGCTTGACTGGGGGTTGAAGAATCTCGCAGTACCTTTTAAGATATAGCTCGATATCTTGGTCTGGAATCCTTCCAGTCCAGAACTTAACAACAAGAGTCACTACCTCTACCTGGACAGAAGACTCCACTTGCCAGTCTTTCCATTTCGGATGTGATGCGTTGGAAAGAGAGATCTCTAAGAAGCGACGTAAGGGCGCCTCTTGGGTGAAACACAGCTCAAAATCCCGTTTATTGGGCAGAGCAATGAAAGAGTATATGTCCTGCACATTCAGCCATGATGTTTGCAATAACAGCTCTTCAGCAACATAATCACGGGTCGGGGGATCCCCGTCTCCGATGTACTTAAGTCTCACCCATAAATTGCTGAAGTTTGAAGCAAACGGTAATGGGGCATACGGGGGCATGATTACATAACTAATAACCCTTGCCGCCCTTGCCTCGTTCTTTGCTTTTTTTTTTTTTAGTTTACACAACACATTTTGTTAATATTTACATGTACAATAATCAACACATGCAAAGTAGCAGTGCAGCAAAAGGTGGTTCTACAAAGTATTGACTCAGGGGGCTGAATAATTACGCACACCCCACTTTGCAGTTATTTAATTGTAAAAATTGTTTGGAATCATGTACGATTTTCGTTCCACTTCTCACGTGTGCACCACTTTGTGTTGGTCTTTCACATGGAATTCCAATAAAATTGATTCATGTTTGTGGCTGTAATGTGACAAAATGTAGAAAAGTTCAAGGGGGCTGAATACTTTTACAGGCCACTGTATAGTGCTTTTCTACGCTTTCTGAGCACTCAAAGCGCTTTACACCGTTCACACAAGCACTTTTCTTCTAAGCTCTTTCTATATAACACCTATACTCATTCATACTCTAATTGATGCATCGAAGAGCAACTTGGTGTTAGTATCTTGCCCAAGGATATTTGGCATGCAGACAAATTGAACCATCAACCTTCCGATTAGCAGGTGATCTGCGCTACCTCCTGAGCTAGAGCCACTCCAGTGGAGTTAGTGCCCCTTGAATCAGTGATTCAGGCTGGTGGTGTAATGGTGTTGGGGATAATTCCATGGCAAACTCTGAGCTCCTCAGTACCAACTGACCAAAGTCTAAACACCACAGACTACCTGAGTATTGTTGCTGATCATGTCCATCCCCCTTTATGACTGCAGTGTACCATCTTCTGATGCCTGCTTCCAGTAGGATAGCGCACCGTGTCACAAAACTCAAATCATCTCAAACTGGTTTCTTGAACACAAAAATGAGTTCACTATGCTTAGATTGTAAAAAAAAAAAAGAGCACCTTTTGGGATGTCCAAATCTTCTTCAACTGCGTGATGCTATTGTGTCAATATGGACCAAAATCTTTGGGGAATGATCCAGAACTTTCTTGAATCTGTGCCACAAAGAACTGAGGCAGTTCTGAAGTCTACAATGGGGCTCTAACCCAGTACTAGAAGCAAGGTCAGTGAGTGCGTACAGTCTGCATTTAACATTTTTGGATTGACTGAGTTGTTTGTGTTCTGCTTCTCAAATTTAACAAATCAGCAGTTAAATTTCTCTACCGTGTCACAGATTTTAACCACATTTTAAAAGACTTGGGTAAAAATACAGAAAAACACAGCTTTTCATCAAACATTTTTTAAATTAGTTCAACATTTTTTTTACAAAGTTGGTAAACTGTCTTCTGCCTTTGCAGAAGAATGGGAAAATGTGATAAAACATTAAATGAGTTTTTCTTAAAATGTCACAATTCCCCAAAACGTTACGATCATTAGGCTGACTGATGAGGGCGTCAGTTAAAAGAGGTTGACGCATCCACCATATTTCAGGGCTTTGAAACATAAAGCCGTCACAAGTGATAACTTATCTGGTATTTGCAGTCGTAAAGGCTGTTTATGACAGGCTCTCCCGCTCTCTGGGAAACCTGACCAACCTTTTGTGGTGTATTCAAGCTGACCTTTACGTCCACATAAAGGTCACCGTATCACAGAGCTTTGGAGGAAAATAGCTGTAGGATGTGCTGATGACCAAAAAGGTGATACCAAAGAGAAAGATTTGTTTAAATAGTGCATATCTAGCATGTTTGCTTGGGGGGTGAAAGACTAATTTATTTTTATATGTCACTATCACTTACAGGGATCCACTGGGCTTTATATACTACCAGCTTTATCAGTTTCCCTTTTAGCACAAGTTCAATAACTGGTTGTGGTGAATGTGTGGCAGTACCCAAAAACTATCTCAAACATTACACAGCAAAAGAAAAACTTTCCAAAACTACTACAGCATACCACTAAACAGTAATGTGATGGGTGCAGAATGAAAAAAGGTAATATGCTACTGTTTTCCCCACCATAAATATGAAAGCTATATTCAGGCTTGTGGCCACAAAAACATAGGATGGAGTATGAAAAATATAAAACATGGACAGAATTTAAACGATGCCACAATGGAAGGACACATATTCATCAACATGGAAAGCTTCATATTAGCAGCTGATCAGAAACATTTAAAAGGGCCTCTTTAGATACACTATTAGAAGTCTCATCTTTAAGGTAAAAGCCATGCATGCACAGACATTACTTGAACTCCCAGTGAACTCTTTCAGATGCAATCTAAAATGGCACAACAAAAGAGGCAGGACATGAATGGTTTTTGCAGTACAAAACTAAAATCAACCTAATTGTTCCTCAGGTCACAATCTCCTGTCAGGCGAGTAAAATATAGAACCCACCCAAACTTAAACCAAACATGAGTCATGAAGAGACACCATCTCTGCCAATCACCAGTGGTCGACGCCACCACCAACCCCAGAAATGTGATATTATGGACACGTCATCCACCGACTGCTCATGAGCATACATTTCCTGTCTTATCAACCCGCCCTTTAGTAATCTCCCATAGGAGAGACAAAGAGGATGGAACATCCATCCATCCTCATCCGCTTTGAAATGGCTCAAACTGTTCAAATACACAGAAAATATGACACAGGTCAGATGCTGTAGTATCAGAAATCTTTCAGACCAATTGAAATATGTAAACTGCAGACAGCTTCAACTCAACGCAATTACAAGGCGTTTACAACAAGGTGCAAACCAGCTCGTTGCACTAAACGATGAGAAGGGCATTTACATTTCACCAGAAAACATCTAAAAGAGCCTGCACATGCCTGAAGAAAATCTTTTGAGAGACAAAGCCAAGGTTTACTTGTACCAGAATGATAGACAGAGAAAAGTATAGAGAAGGAGAGAAACTGCTCGTGATCCAGAGTTAATGTATGGGCATGTAAGGCTGCCAGTGAAACCAGGCCACGAGTGTTTATTGATGATGTGACTGCTGACAGAAGGATGAACTGTGAAGTGTACACGGCTCTACTCTCTGCTCAGATTCAGCCAAAATAATCTGCACATCACCCAAAGCGTAATACGAAAGCAACCCAAGAACTTCTCAAAGAAAACAAATGGGATGTTCTTCAACGGCCAAAAGTAGAGACGCACAAACATGCACGAAGTGAAGGTGTTCTCATTAAAAGCCTGGCAAAGCATCTCAACAATCCTTACATTTAAAATGATGTCCAATTACATTTGAGCCACAGCTAATGGAGTACTTTTGTTATAAATGAAATAAAAGCTGAGAGTCTGCACTTCAGTTACATATTGTCTGTTTGACTTTAAATACAATGTGGTGGTGTACAGAGGCCAATTGTGTAGCTGTCCAAATACTTAAGGACCTAACCGTATGCTGAGATTTAATGGAGTCTGGACCTTTAGGAAGGGGGTACGATAATAGATATCCCAAAAGCTCCACACACTTGTCCATGTCTTTACTTATGAAGACACATGGAGAAGCAAGTACGACAGTGAATCAGTATCCCTAACAAGGTTTACACCAATTATTTCCAATATATCTGTAAGTAATGTTATCAGCAGTCCAAACATTCTTCATCTGGTCTACAAGACCATTGCAATAACCAAGAAACAATATTTCACTGCTGCAGTCAAAATAAGAGGAAAAGAACATGTGCACACTTCTGTAATAACTCTCTGCTCCCTAACTGGTAGCAGTAGTAGAGTCCGACCAGAGCTAAGTGGGAACAAGAAGAGTTTTTATCTCTTTAATGAACATGTCAGTCATGTGTGGACACGGCTAGAGCACGGACTGTCCTCAGAGCTGCTTAGATAAACTGTAGACAGACGTGCAGCTGGCCGCATTGCAGAGGAGAGCTCTAGTAGCAGAAAGTTACAGAGAAAACGAAATGAAAAACTATTTTTCTGCTCTCTGATTCTGGGCCTGATTCATCATGTGATGTCTGCACTGTAAGAACCCAGAGAGCCTTCAAATCCTGTCTGTCCTGCCTTTGCTGCTTAATGTCAGACTTGTCTCACTGCAGATTCCTGTGTGGGTTCAAGCAGCAGTTTATAGCCAGCAAAAAAAACCCCAAAAAACTGAGTATGTTCGTTCTTGATACAATTGAGACCTGGAGACTTTGTGTCACATTGATTAGAAGTGAATCTACCATCTGTTGTCAAGAAATGTCAAAAGAATAGATGAAGTCTCCCTAAGTGTATGCAAACTAGATGACAGAAGTATCACAGCTACACCAGGATAATATTACAGCAGTATCACACAGCTTCCTTTGCCTCTCCTGATGGATTTGGGACATTCGCATTAGGAATCAGAGCACCATCCTTCAGAATGAGATGTGAAATTATGTCATTATGTAATTGACAGAAACATTTTAATATTTAAGCCTATAATTGTGGGCTACAAGCAAGCTGCTCCTTATCATCAAGCTAAGAGGGCAGTTAGGTAGAGAGTCGGAGCGAAGTTTACAGCAATTATCTCTCTCGTTTTGTCTCAAACTCAGTCTCGGGGGCGCATTTTACGAGTGGAACTGAACTAAAGAAATTACTGTGGGGCGAGGGAGCTGATCGGAGTCTGAAAACAGCTATGTCTAAAGGTAATGAAGCTGTGAGCTGAGAGCAAGCGATGACAAACTGGCGCCTCTCCAGCAGGACCAGATCCGCTTCATAACTGCAATCCCCTCGTTTTACAGACCTAACATCAAGAGTTCTCTTCTTTGTCAGCACAAGTGCAATTATCCACAAGTCGCAGCACGCAAGCATACCTTTTAGTTAGCAGGTGACGAAGCAGAGGACCAAACACTCTACTCAGTTGTAAACCTTGCACATTGCTGTCACAGCATTCATTACACAGGAGACTAAAGCATAAACAGTAGCGTGATTAAGTAATTAGTTAGATTCTTACTTATGCAGAGAGCAGTGTTGTCAAAGTATTCAGAAATTAAGAATTTAATTTTGTCTTTTGATATTTGTGGCTGAAATTACTTCAGAATGACTTTTTCTGTTTTCATCAAACATGAGGACCGGGGGCTAGAACCATCCCACCAAATGGACCAATTCAGCCCCCTAGAGTGCGGTGGAAAGTGTGGAAATTGCAGTGAAGTCATTAATATCTGACATGAGGCGATGTCAGTGTTACTGTGAAGAAAATAGTTGGTCTCAGAAAATCAGTTTCAACAAGTTGTTTGAATCATAAAAAGTGAAATACCTCTGTTGTTCAACGTTACCTGTCAAGGTTTTTTGCTTTTGCAGATTCGGTGAAATATGCAGTGCACATGTGGTAATCAATATTGCTAAATATTACTACAATTATTATTAGTGAGAATCTCAGATGTTCATCACAACTTTATAAATTGTTTGTTCACTGTTTTTACAATATACCTGTAGTTCTAGAAAGTCAGGTTATTATGCAGCTTTGTTTATACATTACCCATAAACAAGAGTGAGTTTAACACCCCTGGTCTGTGTTTTTCATCTTTAATATAATGCTCATTTCTGCTTATCAAGGTCTCTTACCCCTTCCTGAAAGACAAAACTCATTTGGGAGGGGGTAAGAGACAGCCTTTGCATACAGGAAGTCCTGAGGGACTCGGTCAAATGCCAAATCTTAAGTCCACAAAACACACGTAGACTCATTGGGCAAACTTCTGTGCATATTAGGTAACCTCGAGACGATTAAAAAGCTCGTCTAGTGTTCCACGACCAGAATCAAAACCATATTGCCCCTCTTGAATCGTAACTTTGATTTAAAAAAATTTAAAAAAAAAAGGACTCTCTTCCCCAGCAGCTTGGCATATAAGATGGGACCAACACCCTAGTCTCCCAAACCATTGGCTCTGTCCCCAACTTCCACATGATACTGCACAAGTGTGTTAACCAAAACAGCCTTACAAAACCCAGCTTTTTAACACGACAATGATGAACAAGTCAACCCACCACCCCCAAATTCTGCTCCTGCTACATAAGGGATATCAGTGGGACTTAAAATATCCTCAGCTGCAGTCAGACGGTACTGCATCCTGACTGTGCACAGTATAGAGTCAGGATTACACAGTGTGATATTCCTGCTTCCTGTTTCCAAGAATTGCCTTAAGGACGACCGAAAGTCTTGCTTACCGAACTCCTCCAACATCCAAATTTTGACTTCAGCTGTGGTTGCAACCCACTTGGCCTGTTGGCCTGACTTGTCGGCTGCCTGTGAAATCAAGCTCAATAGGACTACTTCTTCAACTTGACAGCTGCCCTCTGGTGTCCAATGTCTGGTTTGGTGGTCTGGTGCCTGGTCTGGTCCACTCAGTCTCCCTCAGAATGCTGTCAAAGCCGTGCTGGAGGTGGGAACTGAAGATCTTGTAGATCAGGGCCTCTGATAAGTGAGCACCCTCTCACCACCTGGTTTTGATTAGTTGAAAGCTTTGCTCCACTCTTTACTTTAGTGTCCAACACATAAGGTCTGATGATATGATTATAAAATCAATCATCAAGTTCTGACTTAGGATGTCCTGTTGCCAAGTGCACTAATGGAGAAAAAGTGATTACCATGAAAGCAAAACAAATACAAAAACACTATTATTTTGTGAGGCTGTACCTTCCAACGGTCACACAGTTGTTTACCATGTGAGCATTGAAATTCCCCAGCAGGACAGAGTCCCAAGCACGTAAGGCTTTCAGATTGTCCCCACAAATTCACTTGAAGCTGTGTCACAAAAGTCTATCAGGTGATATTCTCACATAGACTAAGAACCAGCCAATAAAACAAATTAAGAAAAAGCAGATGACTCAGCAGATGAAGAAAAGTAAGCACAATCTTTCCAGTATGTGAAACTATGTCTAATTTTATTCCTGCTCTTGATTGTAGTTTGGAAGGATGTAGTTCTCCTGCTAGGTCTGCATCTACATCAACAAATATACATATTATAGATTTACAAATTCAGATTTCCAGTTCTCTCATTCCAGTTTAAACTTGTACATCTCAGTTGTCTCACGCTTAAATAGGCTGCCAACGCAAAAGATGCTGGAAGCCACTCTGGCTAAGTCATTTGCACTTGTCCACCAGTAAAAGTCGCACATAATAAGAAATTAAATCACAAAAGGCAATGATCATAACAAACAAAGACAGACTTGAGTGCCAGCGTACACAGGTAAACTCCAGGAGAAGAACAGGTGCTTCAAAGAGGAAGTTGTTCTCATGTGGCTTTCTTTGATTTGACTCTGCTCTGTTCATCTCCCAGATTACTCCTGGCTTTCAGGGAAATAAAACGCATCACAAAGAGAGTGATGTTTCTTTAAACGGGGAAAGAAAGGTGATGTGGACGCAAGCCAAGCTGTGTCCTTATCATCCGGAGGGGCTTACTGCACAGGTGACACACGATTTGCAAGGAGGGCTTAACTTGTCATGATTTCAGCGAGGTGGCGGGAGGGAAGAGCCTCATTAGCATTTACGGAAAGGCCCAGAGCTGCATACATAAACAATGCTGAACAAGGCAAATGCCACTTTTAAAAGAAATACTGGAGATGTGGGAAAAAATGTTTTCTTTGGATAAATAATCCGATTGTTGAATGAGCTATATTGGGCATTAAAGTAAAAATCTAAGTATATATTTTACTTTAGTGACAGTGTTTTCTGAAGATGATGTCACCTTACTGACTACTTTATTAGATCTACATGTGTAATCATTCGAGGCTGTTCCAGCTCACATTTTACTGTTTGGCTATATCATGAAAAGTCTCTGCTTTGCGATTGTGGGGATGGAGTTTTGCTGGCACGGTGTGAGAGTTGGGTTATTTTAGGAAACAGTCACGCTTTCACAGACTCAAAACATGGCTGCTTTAACTGCTCATTGCTGGAAAAAAACACATCTAATGGACAAAGGAAAGTAGTTTCTAAATCACTAATTCAAGGTTAAGATTACATTTTAATTTTTTTGTGGACAAAATATTAAACGTTCCACTTCATCCAATTTCTACTGTAAAGCCTAGTTTAGTATTTAAAAAATGTAACCACTGACATACTGAATTTAAAATATGCAAGAGACTTTTACTCTTTAATCTGAATCTTGGTCATTTACACTCATGTGGACAAGAAAGTTTTCACAGGAATCTCTGAAAAACCAAGAACACCCCACGAATCACAAGTTTGGCAGCAATAAGTTTAAGTAATCGTTTTCAGCATCTATACATCAACTTCTCACATTCTTGTGGATGACTTTTACGCATCTCTTCTTTACAATGTTGCTTCAGTTCATTGATGTTTACGGGCTTTCATTTATGCACAGCTCTCTTAAGGTAATACCCAACATTATTTCAGTTTCAGTTGAAGTCTGGACTTTGGCTGAAATTGGGTCATGGACAATGATCCAAAGCACAGCGACAAATCTGCTAAAAAAGAAAAGCATCAGGATGTTGCAGTGGTCCAGTCAAAGTTTATCTGTTGGACAGATGTCCTCACATTGGACTTCAGAACACTTTGGTACTCAGAGGGGTTCATGGTCGACTCAGCCAGTGCAAGATATCCAGCACCTGTGGCTGCAAAACAAACCCAAGTCTTCATCCCATCCACCACCGTGCTTTACAGCTGGTATGAAGTGTTACGTTTTCTCCAAATTTGGTGCTGCACATTACAACCAAACATCACTTTGGTCTCATCTCTCTGAAGAAGTCTTGTGTTCAGATGCCACTTTAAAACATAGCCCATACTGATATATTCTTTCTCTTCACAAGCCATGCTTGTTATTGTTTTTCTAATTTTACTGTCATGATCTTTAACATTTAACATGCTAACTGAGGCCTGTACAGTCTGAGTAAAGCTCTTGGGTTTTCGGTAGTTTCTCTGAGCATAGTTTGAACTTGGTGTGAATTTGCTGGCACTTCCACTCCTGAAAAGATTGTGGCATTGTGTTAACGCACAGTTAAATGCTCCAGACCAGCAAAATGCCAAAACCTTTGCTTTCATTGAGGTGCTCACACTTGCTGATGATCAATTAAGCAAGTATATTTGATTAGAATTACCTTGCTGTGACTTCTTAACTACCATGGAAGCATTAAGGGTCTGCTTAAGTTTTTCACAAGAGAAGAGTCCTGCATTTTTTTTTTTCATGACTGCAACTAAGAGATAAAAATTGTGATTTTGCTAATTTGCAGGTAAAAATCCATTTGGTTGTAGATTTAAATTTGAAAAAAAAAAATCTGATTAAAAAGCTTGTTTAATGATTATTTTAATAGCTTGCAATAACTAAAGAGGAAGCAGGTCCCCCAGGATATCCTCTGAAGATTTCTGTGAATTATAATAAAATAAAATAAAATAAATTAACTTTTATATTTATTTTGCATCAACTGCAATGTTGTTTTTCCCACAACCCACTTATTCAATAAACAGACAGAATGTTATTAGGCTTCAAGTGATGTCATAAATAACTCACAGGATTATGTTTCCTTCATTTCGCTTTTTTAAGAAAACAGTTTGACTCAACATAAAAAATAAAGAAATAAAAATCTTTCATAAGACATTTGGAAAGAAAATTAGGTTTATATAAAAGGAGTCTTTATTTAGTCCTCACAGTACAGTTTGTACATCTGTTTGCTTGGAAATACTTCAGTAATTCACCAGTGAGGGAAGACAGTCGTCCACAGTCAGACGGCATCGTGGATTTTAGGAAATTCAATTTGGAAATCTTTAAATTAAACCCAAACAGAATCAACCTTTGATAAATTAAATATCTTTGATCGAATATGCTTTTAAACAGAAGAAAATCAGAGCCCAGCTTAAGTCATGTTGCCGTTTCTGTGTGTCGACCGTCTCCTGTTCGGTTTCCTCTCATTAAGACTTTGACCACATTGCAGATGGTCGCTCCTGAGCTGAGCCTGTGTGTGTCTGTGTGAGTCCTGTGTGTGCGCACACGCTTTAAAGTGAAACTCATCAGTATTCCTCTCACTCTGGGGGAATTAGCTGCCAGAACACCGCTTTTTCTGCCAACTTTGATCCCAGCCCTCCTTTCAGGACCAGTAAGGTGGACAACAAACCACACTCGTTATAGCTCGTTAATGGACCGACGCAGGGCTCAGAGCCTCAGGCAGAGTGCAGTGAGGATCACATGCACGAGGGAGTATAGGACTCCAACACGTAGCTCAACCTTACCCCCTTCTCTCCGAGCTCTCTTAGTGCTTTAATCAAATCCTGCCTGCCAGAGAATAACTAACAAATCAGCTCAACCCTCGGCTGTAAAACTGGTCAAATCTTCTTTTACATTTGTATCATAACAAGGCGACCAGGAGACGCTTGAGTACAAGAGGGTGCTTGAGATAATGATATTGGTGAATAATGGCTCCTGCCACATGTGTTTTTTTTAAGCACAGTCATTGACTTTGAAATGCCACAGAACATCTATCATCATTATTTAAAGATCTTAATTTTAATTTAACAGGACATGAACGGATGACATTAAGCTTTAATGAATTTCAGTAAAGTCATTGAATATGAACTTACTTCAGGTCTTCAGAAGCCCTCGCCTGGATCAGAGGAGTCTCCACTGAATGTCCGAACACGGCTCCTTCCGAGCCTGCGGATAAAACAAATCCCAGATCGTGTTCAGTGCAGCTTTATATTATGTTCCACAAAATACTTTTTTGGTAACGATTTAAACATAGAAACTAAATCCATATTTTTCAGTGACTTGCATGATTCAATTACATTATATCACCATTTAAAAGAGAAGAAAAAACAAGTGAACAGACTGCAGGCAATGGGCACGTATTGTCCACATAAACCTCCTGCTGCAGTCTTTCAATCATTAAAATCCTTAGAACAGCTAAGCCCAGCACTGGCTGTGTGATTAGCTCTGCTGCCTTTTTACTTGCCAAGCAAATGTGTAAAACCAGAAGACCATTGGAGGCAACTCGTTCTCACCCTAACATCATGATGTGGCAGGAAAAAGACTCACCCAACCAGGTGACCAATATCCAATTTTGGTCAGCCTGTGTCAACTGTAGCCTCAGTTTCCTGTTTGGAGCTGAGAGTGTCACCCAGTGTGGTCTTCTGCTGTATATTTGCATTCAGAGATGCTCTTTCTGCATACCTTGGTTGTAACGAGTGATTATTGGAGTTACTGTTGGCTTCCAATTAGCATGAAGCAGTCTGACCTCTGGCATCAGCAAAGCACCCAGAGAACAGCTGCTCATGGGATATTTTCTGTTTTTTTGGACCCGTCTTTGCAAACTCTAGAGATGTTTTAGAGGGAAAATCCTAGTAGATCAATCACGCCACGTTCAAAGTCATCTGACTGCATGCCCAAATGCATTGCTGCCATGGCTGATTAGATAACTGACAAACAAGCAGCCAAACGGGTGTACCAAATGAAATCACCAGATAGTGTATATTACTTGTGTTGACATATTGTGGATTAAAGTCTTAAGTCTTACTTATGCCTTACTCATTAATGTGTTGGACTTCTAATATACTCCGGGAAAACCTACAGTACAAAAACTTAAGATTCAAATCTGCCCTTTTAGTTTTAGACAATACACCATTGATCACGGTTTATTTAAGATATCCAAAGACAACTGAGTGAGACTCCAGCATCGTCTTACCTGTGACTGTGAACTTTTCTGCTGCCATGATGACCTCCTCCTCGTCGGCAGTGAACAGAAGTGTGCCCCCGTCTCTGCTTCGCACCTCCAGCCTCTGACACTGGGCTTCCACAGCCTCGGGACCTGCAAGAGAGACGTAGATACTCAAGTTTCCATTGAAAACCTTCAGTAAACGTTGCTGAGTGCACTCAATTTAACGGCAAAGGAACGATTCAGCTTATTTGTATTCATTTACCTCTACTGCATTTTCCAGTATTTTATGAATGTTTCTAGATCTAACTATACATTTTAGTTACGATTAGAAAAATTTCCACCTCAAAAGTTTTATTAGTCTGCAGTGGTAACAACTTTCACTTTTTGAAAATAGCGCTGTCAAATAAAGGTTGACTTATGCGACTCTGGTCTTTTAAATCTGCTCCGGGAAGCTACAGTATGTTTGTGCATGTAAGACTATTAGCAATCTGAAATACTTTGTGGAGTGCTTGCTTTGCAAATGAAAGGCTCCTAACAAAGCTGGATCAGCCATGCTTCTCTGATGAATGAAGACAAATCAGTAATCTGTTCCGCTGGTGAGGAATATTAATTCCTGTTCTCCAGACTTTGGTGTTTTTCCAGATGTGCATGCACAAAATTCGTCTCCTTTTCTTGCTCTCTTCTCCTCTCTCTGCCATTAATCCATGCCCTGCGACGGCTGGGGAATTTAATTATTCTCGCTGAGTTTCATCTCATTTCAGACGAAACGCAGTACCCACAAAAGCAGGCGTAATTTTCAGAGGAAGGTCAAGCGTGACCAAAACGTGTCATATCAACAGTCTTGTCAAATCACCATCAACTCTCTACTTATGCTGGCTAAGATCAATAGCTATTAATGTTAATAAGCAGGTCATTTGCTTTCTAGTGGTGATTAATCATGTAAATGACTTTGGTAATTTAGTCTGACTGATGGCTGAACCTGATGATAAAGAGATGAAACTATTGCTCTTTCAATAAGAGCATCAAAGGTTAGCGTCTGGAAAAAAAACAAACTACTCGAATAAGATGTAGAAGCATTAAAGAGAACTTCAGGATAAATTGTTGTGCTAATCTTAAATGAAGTCATCAACAAATGGTATTGATCTGGTAATTTATACAGCTGTGGCCAGATTAATCCAAGACCAGTTTTTTTCAATAATAAGTTGTACAAAGAGAGAGGAATACAATGCTGTGCAGAAGTCTGGAAGTGCATCTTGTTTCTTCATATATTTTATTAGAAAAACATTCATAAGCCAAAAACAGAGATTCTACAACTCTAACAAGCTTGAAAGTCAGTATCTGGTATAAAAATGTGATTCTTCAACACAGCCTGAACTGTTAGGCAGCTTTCTTGTTATTTAAATAGTCTTCAGGAACAGTTTTCCAGGCTTCTTAAAGGACATTCAAAGCTCTTCTTTGGATGTTGGCTGCTTTTTGTTCTGTTCTCTGTCGAGTTGATCCCAAACTGCTTCAATAATGTGCAACTCTAGGATCTGAGGAGGCCAATCCATGACGGACAGCATGTGTGTTTATTTCTATCCAGGTATTCTTTTACTGCATTGGCAGTGTGTTTTGGATCATTGTCATGCTGAAAAATGAATTGAGTTGCCAATCAGAAGCTTTCCAGATTGTATTACATGTTGGATCAAAATCTAATCGCGTGTTTCTTTTCCAGTTCTTTTGTAATTTGGCAGAACTCAGCCTTTTCTCCTTGTTTTGCTTCCTTAAGAATGGCTTCTTTGGCACCCGTTTAGGTTACTGGTTGAGCAAGCGCCCATATGCCTTGTGGATGAAAGGGAGCAGCAAAGGTTCGAGTCGAACCTGTGGCCTAATCTCTCAGGTCTCTGTCAGGACTTTTTTCCTTTTGTTAAGAACATAACTTTCAGATACTGTTCTTCTACTAAAGATAGTTTTTGAAGGTAGGGTTTCAAAACAAAATTTTATGTTTGTCAAAATGTGTTCTCATAATCATAATTTTCATAAATACACATGATGAAAAGCCTTTTTGCGACAGCCTGCTGGTGATAAAATGCTTGAATATACAATTTTAAATTGGAAAACAGAAAATAAGTGAAAAAGCAGCCAATCTCCAAGGAAAATATTTTAAAAACCTTTAAAAAGCCTGGTCAACGTTTGCACAAGTCAAAGTTTAAAATGGTAAACAGCAACATATAATGAAATGAGGGGTGGCTCAAGACCTTTGCACAGCACTGTAAAAACTGAAACTACTTTTAGGCTACATTGCAGACAGTCATTCCACAGCAGGTGTTTCCTTGCAGGTAAGTCAAGCAGCAATTTATAGTTTCAGGATGGAAATGGCACCAGCAGTAGTAGTGTAGAGGTACACAAAGGAGGAAGTGGAAACTCACCCACTGTGAGCTGACCAGTTAGCAGGCCTTGTTCGTTTCTGGCATTCAGCGTTACGTTCTTGTCTGACCGCAAGACCAACAAGCTGTCCTAGGGGGAAGCATGGAGGGGGGAGGAAGAGACACACAGTGGGAGAGAGACGGAGAAGAGAGGAAAAAAAATGCTGCATTAAAAAGCTTAAATCTCATAAACAGCGTTGGAAACTGTTAAACTTATTCTTTCAATGTTAAAGAACCACAGAGGAAGGAAGAAATTAAATATGTAAGATCACTGAACAGGAATTATTTAAATCCCCACACTCAGCAGCTATCAGAGACTGCCTTGTCTTGTTGAAATCAGAATTAATGTAATTATGCTGGTTCGAAGTAGATTGTAGTCTACAGTAAAAAGGTTTCCCAAGTGGATCTTTCCTGGATAATAACCACCGAATTACACAACATTAAGGCTAAAATGGAACAAATTAAAACCGAATTATTGAAAGATGAGTAATGAAGTGAAGAAAGAGATAGAGGAGGAGGAAGGGGTTTGCGGGGCAGCCGAGGACGTGTGTGTGATGAGCGTGGGTGCATTCTTTTCATTGCTGCAGACATTTCGGCTGTGGACCTGTCCTGCTTTCTGGCAGCTTTGCATTTTGCAAGTTTATAGCTTGTTGACATTTGAATGATGGCACATGTGCATTTTGAAAAGGCTTTGAAATGCACCCATTCTACCTCAGACGTCTACATTTCCCAGTAACATCATCTTATGAATACATTTAGGAGACTTCTACCTGGACTTTAGATTTTAAATACCTGACCGCTACAATCACACACTTGCTATCACACAAAGTATATATGGTTGAACATCAACATACTCTGGGAGGGTTATGTGGGTCTGCGAAAATGTGAAGCACATATCAATGTTTCTTGTGTGTTGTATCGGTCTGTCAAACGTCCTAAAGCAGCTAGAGATCTTTCTCTTGGTACTTGACCAAAATATTTTATAAACCTATAAGAGCAACATAAATAAGAATTCTGTAAAAACAGATGTTGCTGGAAGCTCAGTGACATAATGACAACTTGTGCTCTAGGGCTGCAAACCCAGACAGTATGTCAAGACTGCCTTAATTGATTTTTGGACATCTTCAGGCAGTATAAGAAGCTGTAGCAACACTGACCTAGCGCCACCGTATAACTCTTATGGTGAAAAGTTAGCAGTAAGCAGTTACTCTTTTACACATGCCACAGAGCGAAATTACCCTTCACTTGGAATTGTTTTGAGAGCTCTGTGTGTCGTTTCCTTTTTAAACACGCTGTTTTTATATTAAAAATCATCCCCTGTACACATGTAGTTCAGCACAGTTTCATAACACAATTCAATCTATCCAACAAGACCATTCAGTGTAAATTAGTGGCAGAGGGTTGGTTGGGCGATACTTCTGCAGCCATTAACAAACACCAGAATAAACACCCCGAGGCTGCTTTTATTGTTGCTGGCGACTTCAACCACACCAACTTAAAGACAGTCCTCCCCAGATTCCACCAACATGTCTCCTGCCACACCAGAGGAGACAAGACTTTAGACCATGTGTATTCCAACCTGGCTGGAGCCTACAAAGCCACACCCCTCCCCCACATTGGACAATCGGACCATCTCTCCCTGTTCCTCACACCTCGGTATTCACCACTCATCCAACGTGTGAAACCTGCTGTGAGGACAATTAAAGTGTGGCCAGAGGGGACAGACGCAGTGCTCCAGGACAGATTTAAAAACACAGACTGGAATATGTTCACCCACACAGACCTGGACCAGTACGCCTCATCTGTACTGGATTACATCTCCGAAACCACAGACAGTGTCACCACCCAGAAACGGATCACCATGTACCCCAACCAGAAGCCTTGGATGAACCGGGATGTTCGTCTCCTCCTGAAGGCCCGCAACACCGCCTTTAGGTCAGGAGATGCACACGCCTACAGTACAGCCAGGGCTAATCTAAAGAAGGGCATCAAAAAAGCCAAACACCATTACAAAAAGAAGGTAGAAGAACACTTCTCCAACTCCAACCCCCGACGCATGTGGCAAGGACTCCAGACCATTACAGACTACAGGACCACCAAACCCTCCCCCGCATCCTCTGATGTCTCCTTCCTCAACGAGCTCAACAACTTTTATGCTCGTTTTGAGCGAGGGAACCCCACAACCACAACCAAAGCAGACGTGACGCCAGACCACCAACCTCTGACTCTCTCCCCCACCGATGTAGGAGCGGTGCTGAGCAGGATCAATGTCCACAAGGCTGCAGGTCCTGATGGCATCCCCGGGCGTGTTCTCAGAGCGTGTTCTGGGGAGCTTGCAGGAGTGCTCACAGACATATTCAATCTGTCCTTGGCCCACGCTGTGGTACCGGCCTGCTTCAAATCCACCTCCATCGTCCCGATACCCAAAAACTCCAACCCATCTTGCCTCAATGACTACCGCCCAGTAGCACTCACCCCCATCATCACTAAGTGCTTAGAGCAGCTGGTCCTAGCACACTTCAAATCCTGTCTCCCCCCCACCCTGGACCCCCACCAATTCGCATACCGCCAGAACAGGAGCACAGAGGATGCAGTCTCCATCGCACTGCACTCTGTCCTCTCACACCTGGACAACAACAACACCTACGCCAGAATGCTGTTTATAGACTTCAGTTCAGCATTCAATACAATCCACCCCTCACAACTCATCAGGAAACTGACAGACCTGGGCATCAGTTCCCTCATCTGCAAATGGTTACTGGACTTCCTGACCAACCGCCCCCAACATGTCCGGCTGGATAACCACTGCTCATCTACCATCACAATGAACACCGGTGTACCACAAGGCTGTGTGATGAGCCCTTTCCTCTACTCCCTCTTCACCCACGACTGCAGACCTGCTGATGGTTCCAACACCATCATTAAGTTTGCAGATGACACCACGGTGATTGGCCTCATCAGTGACAACGATGAGGCCGCCTACAGGGAGGAGGTGGATCGTCTGGCTGAGTGGTGCGACACAAACAACCTGCTGCTTAACACCGAGAAGACCAAGGAGCTCATCGTGGACTACAGGAGGAATGCTGACCCACATCCACCCATCCACATTAAGGGGATGGCTGTGGAGCGTGTGAGCAGCTTCAAGTTCCTGGGAGTCCACATCTCCGAGGATCTCACCTGGACGACCAACTGCTCCAAGCTGGTCAAGAAGGCTCACCAGCGCCTCTTCTTCTTGAGGACTCTGAGGAAGAACCACCTGTCCTCAGACATCCTGGTGAACTTCTATCGCTGCACCATCGAGAGCATCCTGACCAACTGTATAACAGTCTGGTACGGGAACTGCTCTGCCTCGGACCGGAAGGCGTTGCAGAGGGTCGTGAAAACTGCCCAGCGCATCGCCGGAGCACCACTTCCTGCCATAAAAGACATCTACAGGAAGCGGTGTCTGAAAAGGGCTGGGAAAATCATCAAAGACCCCAGTCACCCATCACATGGACTCTTCACCCTCCTGCCCTCTGGGAGGCGCTACAGGAGCCTCCGGACTAAGACCACCAGGTACCGGAACAGCTTCTTCCCCACAGCTGTCAGACTCCTGAACTCTGCCTCCTGACATCTGACCCACGTTAACACATGGACTGAACATACACACACCCACAATGGACAACCGTACCCTCAAACACACAATAATAACATGGACTGAACCACCACTCACAACCACTAGCACTTTATATAGCCTCTGTAGGAATTATATCTCACTTATCTTAACTGCACTACTGTATAGCTCTGTGTAAATAATCATTCTGTACATTCGATAATTTTTAACCCTACAACTGTTTACAACTTGCATAGTTCCCATTTCTGTATAGCTGTATATCTCAGATTCTGTAAAGTTATTTATTTCATATTCTGTATAGTTTTTCATATTTATATCCTGTTCATATCCTGTACATAGCTTGTACTCACTACAGCCTGTACATACTTATAGTTATAGAATATTCACAACATACTTCATACCGTGTACATTATAACATACCATAATAGACCCATTTCTGTAATATACTCACATATCTATATTATTGCTAATATATATTGTAATATATCTATATCACTAAAGCACTTCTGGATGGATGCAAACTGCATTTCGTTGCCCTGTACCTGTGCATGTGCAATGACAATAAAGTTGAATTCTATTCTATTCTTCTATGCGAGTTAGTCACCAGGAGGAAGTAAAGAGAGATGAATAACTGGTGCATCCCAACGATGTTTTAGCCACAGTGCTGAAAAGCTTTTCTGTAAAAGTGGATCTATTCTGCTTGCATGTGAGCTGAGATATATGCGCAAGTAATCCATGCGACTCCGCTGAACAGTCAATTCCAGGCGCTTTCTTCTATTTCTATGTCTATAAAAATGGGTATCCTTAATACGATCATATGATGTGTTAAGACCAGACTAAAGCTGCAACATACAGTACAACAAGACGTGAGCTTTGCAGGGTCCATTTCAAGCATGTAATTTTAGCTTTTTTTTTGCCAGGTGCATGTTATTCACAGGTATGGGTAAACCATAAGGCATAAACATGCAAACATAATGACAGTTGATTTCTGAAATCCTTTTTTACCATATGGGTGTTTACTTAAGTCTTGAATACCAATATTTTATTACACATTTTATTAAATGGAGGTGGATTGTGTCTGGCTGACGAGTGTAGGAGTGCGCTTATTTTTCAGACAATGGAAAGCTGGCATTGTCCCGTGATCACATAGGGATTTAAATATATTTTACTCTATATAAACAGTACTATATTTAGCTTTGATTTATTCTTTTTGTTTTTTAAATTTTAATGTAATTAAGCAGTGCAGGATGTCAACTGCGCAAACAGACCAAACAGCATGGGCACTCATTGCCAGTGTCTGTTGCCATCAGTGTGTTTTATTTTGCTATTTTAGTGGCCTGAATATATGAGAATTTACCTCCGTACATGTTAGGGGTACACTAGTACCTGTAGAAGGTTTTTTATGTTTAGTCAGGTAAGCCAGCTGCTACTTTCTTTAAAACACCAACTGGTGCTGATGGAGAATTTTACTATTACTT